GGTTATACTATGTCATAACCAATCATCAATATCTTTAGTAATAATAAGATAGGATCACGAATACGGGCAGATAATTGCACTACATTTATTTGTCAGAGCTTCCATACGATGATTTACAATTTGCATGGATATATGATTTACTCACGTTCACGCTGTAATAAAATTAATCTTCTAAAACAGAATTTTCTTGGGACACATATGGTTACTCTACTATGGGTATGTCTTAACAGAGCCTTAATTCTTCAAGTGATACATTTACTGCCAGCCTGGATTGCTTTTGTTGCAACCAGGCTTCATCCTAAGAACTTCTTCCCACGGCCATAACAACAAAAGGTACTCTTGGGTTACACACATAGTCTCGCGTCACTGACAGTCACTGTGGGCGGTTGTGCAGCAAGTAGAACTGGTAGCGTGACTTGAATTAACCATTAGGTGCAATAGACCAGCCTGGACTGCTTTGCGCAACAGGCTTCCGCGTGATATTTCCGCAGGGATAACAAACCCTAGGTTAACACACTTAGTCACCGTGTAGGTCACGATGACGGTGTCGTGCAGGAGAACTCTGTAGCGTGAATTAATTAACCATTTACTATAGGTTTGATAGGCCAGCCTGGATTTTCATGCCGCAGGCATCCACCGTGATTTCCGCGGGGATAACAAACCTGGTTGCTCGCTTAGTCGTGTAACGACGGTTCACAGGGCCGGTCGGTGGGAGGACTCTGTTGGTGTGGTTTGTCCCCCCCCTTCAGGAGGGAGAGGCTGGGCGACGTCTTAACTAACCCATGGCTCAGGGTACTACTTAAAATAGGGTTTTTGGGTGTAAGCGATGAACAGTACAACACTGTTTCACTGCCCACCCCTAAAGGCTGGCTGACATACACTAATTGAAAATACATGTCCCAGTTATGCCTGCCCGGGCGTCTCATCTCTGGTAAAACAAACTTTGGAGTTGATTTGCGTGGGTAAGCTAACGCAACCCATGACAATCATCATCATCATCCAGGGGCCTTCTACATACACACCTCAAAGTAAGTGTACTTTACTACCTTTTTGCTGACTTTAGGCAATTTTCGGTGAGATGGACCCAATTGCCCAAAACCCATTGAAACAATAAGTTTGGTTACGAGCAACCTTCTAGAACAATTGTGCTCGTTAACGAGGGACCTAATGTGTGTGTGTATATATATATATATATATATATATATATATATATATATATATATATATATATATATATATATATATATATATATATATATATATATATATATATATATATATATATATATATATATATATATATAGTCCAGTACAGTACTGTACAATGGAAACTTTAAAGTTCATTCAACCAATGATACTCCAAATCATCATAAGCTTTTTCCAAAAGGGTCCTTTCCTTAGCCTCAACCCAGCAAGTCATGCTTAATACACTATTGTGTCATGTTTTGGCTTATATGAACATCCCAACATGACACTGAATTCCAAGTAGCTACCAAGCATAATTTTTTTATCCCTCCAATATTTATTGTCATGAAATTAATTTTACTGCTGTAAATGGTTTGGGATCATCTTACGATTTGCTGAAGCTTATCTCACCTGATGATTAACCATCCAAATGCTAACCAAACCTAATCTCCCAGGTAATGTGAGGATGTTTGATCATTAGGTGAAATAAGCTGGAGGCTAATGTAGAACTTCCAAGTGATGCAAAAAAATAATGGCGACACATAATGGAAAAAGCAATCAGTGGACTTCAAAATACAGGATGTCATTCACATCACCTAAAATGAGATTACCTGGTATGGACACAAAAATATTCTCATTGCTTGTGACCTAAGCTAATGTTAACACAGTACTGTAATGTACCTTGATTATCTTACTGTGAGGTCTACACATATTTCTTTGCTGGTGTTAATTTCTGCACCTTACTTTGGGAGGGCAACCTCTAGGTTTATTCTTTTTAGATGTCTATTTCAGGCCCCATTCCCGATTCTTCAGTTCCACTCGTCAGATTTTTTTCCACTCACAGTTTTTGGAAGTGTGTTTACAAACTCTATTTTTCTTGGATATTTGTAAGGAGCTGTTGTCTTCTTAACGTGATCTTGTAACTCTGCCGCCAGAGTTTGGGGATCACAATCTTTAAAGTCGCTCCCAAGAACAATAAAAGCCTTGACCACTTCACTTCTCAGACTGTGAGGAGAGGAGACTACAGCTGACTCTACAACTGCAGGGTGTTCCAGTAAGGCAGACTCTACCTCAAATGGTCCAATGCGATATCCAGAAGACAAAATGATGTCATCTGCTCGTCCAACAAACCAGAAGTAGCCATCATCATCATAGTATGCTCTGTCACCAGTCACATAATAGTCACCAACATAAACTTCGGATGTTTTCTTCTCATCAGAGAGATATTCTCTGAATAGTCCCACTGGATGACCCTCCTTCAGTGACACTGCTAAGTGACCTTCCTGGAGGGACCCAATTCCTCTTGCTGGTCATCAATCACCTTCAGAGTGTACCCAGGTGCAGGTCTCCCCATGGAGCCGGGCCGCACTTGGATACCTTTGAATATACCACTTATTAGTGTTGTCTCAGACTGCCCATATCCTTCATATATTTGAAGACCAGTGTATTTTGTCCATAACTGCATTGTTTCTGGGTTGAGTGGTTCACCAGCACTAACACAATGTCTCAGGGATCGGAACACATGCTTGCTTAAATTGCATTGTAGCAACGTCCTGTAAACCATTGGTGGTGCACACAGAACTGTTACAGGGTAATGACACAGACTTCGAAGAACTTCTTCAGGATCAAAACGTGGCATCTGATGAACAAATGCAGTAGCACCAGTCATAAAAGGAGTATAGAGACTGCTCCATGCTGTTTTAGCCCAACCTGTGTCAGAAATATTCCACATGATGTCATCTTCCGTTAGATCGAGCCAATATTTGGCTGCTACAGTATGGCCAACACCATAACTAGATTGAGTGTGAGGAACCATTTTTGGTTTGCCAGTTGTCCCAGAAGTGAAGAAGAGTTGAACAATATCATCGCCTCTGCTGGCAACACAAGGCCTCATTAGTTTTCCTTTAACAGACTCTATAAGATGATGGTAAGACGTCCAACCATCTAGGACATCATGGTTTTTTGGAACAAATATTCTAAGTGGAATTGAGCAAGTAACTGAATCAAGAGTGGCAGCCGTATCAGCGTCACAAATAAGACAATCAGCACCAGAGGCAGCAAGGCGGTGAGCCACATCGTTTGGAGTGAGTAAGACAGTACCTGGAGATATTATGGTTCCACACCAAGAGCCAGCAACATTTACGACCCACCACTCGGGAATTTTGGGGAGGATGACCAGTGCACACCTGGGTGGCACTGGATCACTAAGTGCTGTGGCCAATGCCTGGGCTTGCTGGTACAAGTCATGGTAAGTTATTACATTCTGATCCTGGCCATTTGTGAAGAGCAATGCTGGATGCCTCGGCTTTTTGTCAGCCCAGAGACCAACAATATCTCTGGCAAAGTTAAAGTGTTCTGCTGGTTTCAATATTTGCTGACACTTTGATTTCATTTCGTTGTAATACCAACTGCTGCTTTGACAATTTTTCTGATGGCCAGACACAACATACCTATGAGATGTTCCTCTATTAATTAGAGTCCTCCAAGGCCCCTGGATAGATCGAAGCCCAAGGGTCACCATTTTTATAGTGTAAAGATCCTTAACCTCAACATAATGATGACAACTAACAATTACAAGTACATAAGTTCTTGAGGGTAGGTTATTTCCACCGACTATCTGCTAGTAATACATGGCAGTAATAATAAATAACAGTTGGTGCTGCTGTTCTTCAAAATGCAGAAACACAGCAATCAGCACACAAATATCATGACGAAACCAATGAACAATAGTCACTTTACTGGGCCCTGTAAGAATAACACTGACACAATGTTGACAAACACATTAATGTACACTCGACCAAATTTCCCTAGATACACCCTAAAAACCTGTTTTATCTCAAAAGTTCCCTAGGTACTTATCTATTTTACTTTTATCCTCTCCCTTTTGATGTGTATTTGTACAACACAGTACATGTGTTTGTGTTGGCCATGCTTGGTGTACAAAGATGAATCAATGTGAATTCGTATGATGATTTCACTAGATTTGTATCTATCCGGTCCGACTAATTACCCAAATGTTCCTAAATGTAGCCAAATGTAGCCGGAATGAAGTGAAATAATGGTCCTACATGAATAAATCGGACTGCTAATCACTTCTTGACTAGTATTTGGTGTCAAAAAGTCACAAAAAATTGGAAAACTTACTTTAATCTGAGTTAATAGATCGCGTGCATGTACCGAGGAGCGAGTAATTACCCAAATGTACCAATGTAGCAAAATGTAGCCGGAATGAAGTCAAACGATGGTCCTACAAGCGTAAATCACTGAATCACTTCTCTATTATTTGGTGTCATAAAGTCAAAAAATTGGTAAACTTAATTTAATCAGAGTTGTGTTAGGTTAGGTTAGGTACTCGATCTATTAACTCAGATTAAATTAAGTTTACCAATTTTTTGTGACTTCGTGACACCAAATACTAGTCGAGAAGCGATTGGCAGTCCGATTTATTCATGTAGGGCCATTATTTGACTTCATTCCGGCTACATTTTGCTACATTTGGGTAATTAGTCGGACCGCGTCTCTAGGCTTGTAGTGGATTTCTCCCCACAACGCTGTTTGTCGCTGAGTAGCCGACCCCACGAATTCCCCAGTGTGCCTCGTGGTCTGGGCCAACCAGCCGCCCACGGAGCGGGGGTCAACTATCTACCCACGCCTACCTCCGCTATAAAAGACCTGACCTCGTTGTGACCTCTCAACCCTCTCTCACCATGAACGGTTACGAGTTTGATAACGTGGCGCGGATACGTCCGGATAGGCCGACCTGCCCCAAGAAATTAAACCTCCTAGTTCTCAAGAAGTTCTTTGAAACTAATGAGATCGTGGGGATCACCAAGGTGGAACGACTGAAGCTCCATGGTGACATCAAGATCACCTTCGCCGAGAAGGGTATGCCCGTACGAATCCAGGTAAAAAAGCCACAGGTAAAAAAAAAGTTAACTATCGAATTCTCACATTTTTTAAGGTTAATATGTCAATCAGTTTCAGTAAAGGAATATGCAGAACTGATGGTAAATTAATGAGTTTCGCTTAAAAATTATAAAATAGAACAAAAACATTAGATTCTTTGTATAATCGGGCAACATCAACCTGGAAGGATTAAGGTAGGTCAGCTGAGGTCACTGTCAATAAATGACTGACTTAAATATTTTTGTTTGATTACCTTACTGTGCTTAAGATATTGAACAAAACGTGATTTGTTTTCACATACATGTAATGCCATCATATATAAATAGTGTTGTCAATGTATTGCCAGTTAATAACTGAATTAAAATATTTTCAGTTTTATTACTTTAATTGTTTATGGTACTTAAATAAACTGTGACTGACTTGAATATTGTTTTGATTACCCGACTTTCTTTCTTAACCAAAATTGTGACTTTTTTGTGACTTTTTCTTGTGCCTTTATTACCGGCCACCATAAATTAATTGTGACTTTTTTCCTGTGACTTTTTTTCCTAGCCAAAATTGTGACTTTTTTCTGTGACTTTTTTTCCTGTGACCTTATTACCGGCCACTGCCCGTACAGCTCGCGGAGATACCAGTGTAGGGTTTCGTGATATTATGTTGTCTAGCACTCAGGATGGATGGAAACTCTAAGGTGGTGGTTTTCATATAATATAAGTTATATGGTAGACAGTCTGGTGCTGGAGGTGCCGTGTGGTGAGGGAGCTGCTCAGTAGACACGTTCGGTGAGTAGCGTGTTGAAAGAGGTAGATGTGCAGGAGCTTCGTTAGAAGATGTTGCCTGTTGCTGGCCTCCAGGTTGAATGAGAGCGGACAGCGAGGAGCTTGTTTGGAGGAGGTGTTGCGTGTTCAGGAACGTAGAGTAGAATAAGAGAGCTGGTTGGTGAGGACGCTCAGAGAAGGACAGCTGGTGGGTCGCCATGCTCGCCGGCGGAGCGAGGACCGCCAGGCAGCGGCGGAGGAGGGGTGCGTGTTCAGGAACCGAGGCCAGAATGAATCTCAATGGAGAGACAGAGCTTATATACACAGCCGCCGAAGTAAACCGTGGGAAGTTGCTTTCTTGACTCCGCTAGGGAAGACGTGGCTGGTTGCTAGGATACTGTGGCATCTGGTGACGCCTCCCCTGGCCGCTCGTTTGGTTGCTAGGGAAGACGTAGCAGGTGGTTGGTTGCTAGGATACTGTGGCATTGGAATGCGGCTACGCAGTTGTAGGGGAGACGTCCACTACACCAGACATCAACGGCATTCCATTTAAAATGATTGCCTACAAGTGGGACAACCTGAAGCTGGAACTCCCACGCCGAAATTGCCCACGTGGACCAAGCAGAGCTGATTGAGCTCCTCAAGGGGCAACCAGTTGTGAAGAAGCTGTCCGACACCACTGCCCTCATCGGACACCATACAACCTACCCAAGGAGGCTCAACTGGCGTGGGTAACTGTGCCAGTCAAGCCCTACTGCAGACCGAAACGCTGTTACAAATGCCAGCACTACGGACACACTGTCAACAAGTGTGAGGCACAGGAGGGCACCTGCTCCTCTGTGGCAACCCTGGACACCGTTACACGGGCTGCCCCAACACAGTAAAAATGCGCTGCCTGTGAGGCCCACCGCCGATCGGACCTACCGAAATGGAAGGAGGAATGTGATAGCCAAGGCGAGATCGACAAGAAACTACTAAAGAGGCCCTCCTTGCTGTACGCTCCCAAGACAAGAAAAACCAGCAGAAGAGAAAAACCAAGAAAAGACACCTGCCACACAGAATCAAGAACACCACGAGGCCCGTGGAGCTGAAGCCCATGTGGTCAACTCACTGTCTCCGACTTCACACCTATGAGGACTTAAGACACGAGGAAGATGAACAACAAGACCCAAACACGAACGAATGGACACTGCAAGAGAGCAAGAAGAGGAGGAGAGTTAGAAGAAAATCCACATCAAGCTAAGAAGAATACCAAGGAAGAAGACCAAGACATTTCCTCCACACAAGAAAACAACACACACAATCAAGCCGACCAAGCACTGAGAATCCAAGGCCCAACCCAACACGCACCTGACACTTGACCTGACGCTAGCCTGACTCTGTCCTGTCGCCTCCCGGGCGTCCGCCGAGTTGCTGCTGCCTCCAACTTATACTCCCCAACGCAAGCGGTGTTTAGCCACTGCACCTATTCTCTCCTAAAATTCACTTCAATCCTTCCTTTATTCTTCCCTGAACCTCCTTTCCCCCTGTCACTAGCATTTCATGTTCATGATGTTCATGCTGTACGCTGATTGGCTGGTAGGTGCGCTGCCGGAGTTCAGTTGGGAGTTAGGGCAGGAGCCACTACAGTGTTGCTTGCTGGTGGCTGTGGGTAGTAAGAGTGGCCACCAGAGGTGTGGGTCGCCGGCTGGAGCAAGGGCTGCCAGGCAGGGTGGAGGAGGAGGTGTTGTTGAAGACGGCTGTAGGTAGGTCACAGGCGTGGCTGCACTTGTTACCAGTGTTTAGTGGCAACCACTACAGTGTTGTAGTGATTTCTCCCTACAAACGCTGTTTGTCGCTATGAGCGACCCTCGCGAATTCAATAGTGTGTGCTCGTGGTCTAGGTCAACCAGTGCCGCCATACATCACGGAGCGGGGTCAACTACTAAGCCACGCCTAAACCCCACTATTTAAGACCAGACCTCGTGGTGACCTTGTCTTTCTACCCACACCAACCAGCCAGCAACACACCTTCCTCCTCCGCTGCTGCCTGGCGGCCCTCGCCTCCTCCGCCTGCCTGGCGGTCCTCTCTCCTGCCGGCGAGCATGGCGACCCATAAGCTGTCCTTCTCTGAGCATCCTCACCAACCAGCTCTCTACATCACGCTTGTAACCATGCTGCCTTCCAGCATCGCTGCATTGTACATCCAATACAACATGTATATAGAGAGCATTAGAGTTTTTCTCCAACCCATCCTGAGTGTGAACCAAATATCCTGAACCCCACAAATGGTGACCCCTGAGATTCGCACTCACACGGGATGGAGGAGAAACTGATCACGCTCCCAGTCTTCAAGCAACATGGAAGACTGGCTTATCCACCCAGAAGCAGCTCATCGGCTCTACAGCTACTGTCTCTACACCGCAGGTTAGACACCTCAGCAGCTCTGCTACTCTAACCAGACAGTCGCTCCCTCTTCCGACCCCAGCACACCCGTCCTTCTCAGACGCCGACCCCGGCCCAGCAGTAACCCCTGCCGCCCCTGATCGGCCTCTGTCCTGAGTGCGGACCCACACACCCCTCTTTTCCCCTGCACCCCTGCTAGTGTCCTGCACCTGCTGCTGTCGTGGACCCAGCTGCTTTCACAAGCTCATCTGCTTCTGCTGACGCAGCCCCTGCTCCCTGACCCAGGTCCACACCCCAGCAGGCGCATCTGACGACTCTGTACCTGCCGTGAGGGAAGAACAAAATTCATCGCCCACACACCCTTTTTCTCCCTCTCTTCCCCACAGATAGTGTGTATATAGGCAGTTGTATCCAGCGACCGCCTATCCACGCCATCGCCGTTGTCCCACATGAGGCATGCACTGCCTGTTCTGCCTCACATGTGCTATGCAACCCTGCAGACAACAAGTCTCCTATAGCCACCTGGAGGGAAGGGGAGTATTGTAGTGGATTTCTCCCCACAAACGCTGTTTGTCGCTGTGTAGCCGACCCCACCATTCCCCCAGTGTATGCCTCGTGGTCTAGGTCAACCAGCACCGCCATACATCACGGAGGGTCAACTACTAAGCCACGCCTACACCCACTATTTAAGACCTGACCTGTGGTACCTGTCTCTTTCTACCTACACCAACCAGCCAGCAACACACCTCCTCCGCTGCTGCCTGGCGGCCCTCGCTCCCTCCCGCCTGCCTGGCGGTCCTCTCCGCCGGCGAGCATGGCGACCCACAAGCTGTCCTTCTGAGCATCCTCACCAATCTCTCTACATCACGCTTGTAACCATGCTGCCTTCCCAGCACCAAGATGCATTGTACATCCAATACAACATGTATTGTGAGTTTCCTTTTCCCACCCCATCCTGAGTGTGAACCAAACAACTTGAACCCCACAGTGTCATTGGTGAATATTTTGTTTTGTCTAAACTTATCACCCGAAAAAAATATAGAATTGTCTTCTACTATAAATTGATCAGGTTCTATCTACAGTTACCTCTGTGAAATGGTGTGTTTTGTGTGTAGGAAATTAGAGCTAAATATCAACAGAGCTGTAAATGCTAGTTGTAAACAGATTGAGTAATGCCCATGAGATGTGTATACACCTCAATTAGAATGGTGAGAAGTAGTTTTAACATTATTATTATTATTATTATTATTATTATTATTTTATTATTATTATTAATGCATGTATTTAAATATTATCGTACACTTTAAAGACAGGAAACTGAAGCGATAATCAAAATATCTTAACAAAACTCTGTATTGTGACAGAATATTCATAGACACGAGTTTTAAAGATGTGATCATTTAATGATTATTATTTTGTGATATAATTTAAAAATTGTGGTACTGTATTGATATCTCGAATATTTTTAATTTTGCTTTATTGATAAACGTGTAGGCACTGTAGCCTGTTGGGCTGTAGGCTCGTAGTTATTATAAACAACTATAGACAAGTGGGATGGCATCTCAAAAAACGAACTACTGAATTGTAGCAAGTTTTATTAAGCTTTCACATGTTTATATGAGTCTTCAACAGTTGATAACGTAAAGATGTCTATATCAGACCCATTAATTAAGGAATTAAAAGGTAAGTGTACAGCTGAATGTTGAGTATAATTATTATGGTCAACATGACAGGTGGTGGCGGCACTAGTACAAGTCAGTAAACGTCTACGATATATTGAAAATGCTTAATTGTAATGTGGGCAATTAAATTTTAGCTGGATTTATTTTTTGTAAAAATTGTCGTTTCGGTTATCCAGCTAATTTTAGGATTTTAAGTTTTACAATCAGTAGTTTAGACCATTCTAAGACACCTTTCTTCTATAGCTTTTCCATCGGAAATTTATATTTTCGAGTATTTTAATCCATAAAATTACTAAAAAATTTTGGTAAAATTATCGTTTTTGTCATCCACCTACATGTATTTGGAAATTGGGCAAATATAGAGGACTTATCAGCTGCTTCCCCACCCCTGTCTCAGTGACAGTAAGTTTGATCACAGCAGGTGTTAAATTATGCAAGATTATTTTACATTAGAGTATTTATTCTTTTTAGCACTCCCTCGAATTTTTTCATGAGATATTTGATTTCTGATGTATTTTGATGTGTTTTGTTAAGACCTGACCTTTGTTTCCATGGGAAATGCGTTGTTTTTTAAGAAAAGATTCAAGTTATCCTTGATCAAAAACGGCTATTTTCCATAAAAAACGAAGGTGATATATGAACAAAATAAATCCAAGGGCATCAGAAACCAAACATCTAGACCTGTCACTAAATTAACCTACCTTAACCTAACCTAACATAACCTAACCTCACCTCACCTAATCTCTGAGGGGGGGCCCCGCAGAGTGACACGCCTAACGGCTCCAGACAGCTCACGGTGGGACAAGAAATGGCGGGTGGAGATTTATTTATCTAATTTCTTAGGCGTTCCTCACTTGTGCGATTTTTCTGAAAGAAACATGTTTCCAAGAGGCTTCAAGGGTTGAGGAATGTATATATGAGGTAGAAATTGTCTAAAAGTAAGTGCTTCTATGCGATTTGAAGATGTGCTAAACCGAATAATAACCTACATTAATTTAGTTTAGCTTAGTTTAAGGTTAGGTGAGGTTAAGAATAAAATTGTCGTTTCGGTTATCCAGCGATTTTTAGGATTTTAGGTTCTGGAATCAGTAGTTTAGACAATTCTAAGAAAATTTTCTTCTTTGGCATTTCTTCCGCTCATAATTACTTAAAGAAAAAAAAAGGATAATCATCCTATTATTTTATAAGTTGTTAGAAGTTGAAATTATGTTTTTCCATTTTTTTTGTGTGTGTTGTGAATGAAGGTGACCTTCATTTCTCCCACTAATCATAACAAAGCCTATCCAAACCTAACCGAACCTAACCTAGGTAAAATTATCTTTTCGGTTATCCAGCAATTTTTAGGATTTAAGTTTTGGAATCTGTATTGCTTCCCTTAATTAGACTCGGGAGTTGTGGTCATTGGGGTCATCCTTCTCGTCATCCACAGGCCTCCCTAGCCCAAAGGTGTTTGTCAGCTTTATAGCTACATGTGTGTCAGACTCTAGCACATGCGGAATACAAAATACTAACCAACACATGAACATGCAGGAGCTCTCTGGGATGATGGTTACATTAACAAGAACTAAGAAAAAATATGACTAGTATTTTCCAAAAAAATAATGTGATTTTCTCTGAAATTAATCATGAGCAGAAAAATGGTATTGAAGAAAAGTGTCTTAGAATTGTCTAAACTACTGATTCCAACAATTAAAATCCTAAAAATCGCTGGATAACCGAAACGATAATAATACCAAATTAAGCTAGGTTAGGTTAGGTTAGGTTAGGTTAATTCAATTTGAACTTTTAAATAAACATGACAGTGAAATTGTGGCATTTTTAAATTCGTTTTCTATGAAAAGTCAGCGACTACGAAGTCGTAATTAATTACCGGAATTTGTTCAGAATACATCCAAAACCATGGGAAAAACAATGTCAACCTAACTTAACCTAAGCTAACATAACCTAACCCAACCTAAGTTAACTGAACCTAACCTTAAAATCCTAAAATTTGTTGGATGAATGAAACTATAATACCTTATGTTTGTCTTCTTAATACATGGAAAAGATGTGCGGGTTAACCAACAACTCTAAAAAATGTTTGTATAGAAGATACTAGCTGCTTGGGAACAGGGATTTGGGTTAACGGTAATGGTTGAGAACAGCACTTCCACCAGAAGGAGTTGTTCGATTTCGTTAATTTTTTCCACAGATGTTCTTATCATTTTTGTATGTATTTTAAAAGAGGCGACATTTACTAGAACCTAATAGAAACCAACCAAAGAAACCTACCAAACTTCCTCGGGTAAAATTATCGTTTCGGTCTTCCACCTAATTTAAAGATAATTTCAACCCAACCTAACTCTAGCACATGCATAATGCAGCATAATAACCAACAAATGAACACACATGAGCTCTCTCAGATGGTAGTAACTTGAAATCTTAAAATTCGCAGGATAGCCGAAACGATAATAATGCCCTTCCTTGAGAGGGAAGGGGACTGCAATATTAAACAGAAAGTACAGTATACTTATTTTGATATCTGGTACTAATGAAAGGGTTAAATTTAGAAGTTGCTAACACGTACTTATTTATTGAGTTGTATATAGGGAGAAAGAAAAACTAAAAATAATTTATTCCTAGCATTTCTGTTGGAAATGTGTATTTTTCGAATATTTTAACTGATAAAAATACCCTCAATATTAGTTATTCAAAGTGGGCTGCGATTTGAAGTAGAAGGAAATTTGTGGAGTAAAATGCTAAAAATAACACCAAACAAACTTGAAAACCTTACTTAACTCTTCCTAACTTGTAAAATTGTTAAGAATTGCTTTTGAGCTTATGGATTCTTCCTCATCTGAGCACCGAAAACAACACCATATCATACTAAACCGTAAACATGAATAAGGTAAACTTTTTATAGTTTTAAGATTTTTAAAGGTGAGGTAAAGTTTTCAAAAGTTTGTTTTGTGTTTTACCCCATATTTTCCCTGTACTTCAAAGCCTTGCTCACTTTGAACAAGTAATAATGTTGGTAATTTTATCAGTTAAAGTACTGTACAGTACAGTACTCAAAAAATATAAATTTCAAATGGAAACACTAGAATAAATAATTTTTATTTGTTTTCTCTTTCTCCCTATATAAGACTTAATATATAAGTAGGTGTTGACAACTTCTAAATATTTACCAATGAAAGTAACTTTGTTGAAGCGTCATGGTGTAATTTAAAAATTTTTGTGGACGTAAGAGTATGCTCAGACCAAGCAGATCGGTTGTGTGCAAATTGAGCACACGATAACATGTGCTGACCCGGCGGATTTTTCGAAGGAGTATTTACGGTAAATAAAATATGATCAGGTTTTCACTGTTTTACCCTGCAGTTTCCCTTCGTGCCCTGCCCACGACAAGTGATTTATGATCACATTAAGAAAAATACTAAGAAAACAACAACATTTCAGGGTATATACAATAAAAATTTGTTTGCCTATTTTAAAATATACTTACTACATTATAATGATAAGAATATCTGTGGAAAAAATTAACTAAATCGAACAACTTCTTCTGGTGGTAGTGACTTTTTTGTCCTGAACTTAATCTCTTGACATGATGTCTGCTGGCAGTACCATATTGACTCCTTACATTAGTAGTTATGTAGGGTGGTATAGAGAAATGGTAAATTTTTATTTTTGGACAACATGTGAATCTTGGAATTTTATCTTTACAATCAATAGCTTAGAAAAGGTAGACACATTTTTTCTATAATGTTTCCCTCACAAATGACCTAACCTAACTGGGGGGGCCTCTGCTGCCCTAGACCTCCTGTCAATATATAAGTCGTTTATGAGAAAAATGTCATAGAAAAAAGGTATCTAAGAATTGTTTAAACTACCAGTAGTAAAGAAAAAATTCCTAAGATTCTCGTGTTGTCCAAAAAGTAAAATAATTCCTTTGTTTTATTATTCTCTAACACTTGCAATGTTATTACTGGTACGGTAGTCTGTAAATAAGCACGAAGTCATGTGAGAGGTGACTGATGTATTTTGGCATGGTAGAAACTTTACACTTGTAGGGCACTTTTATAATTACAGTACAGTATTGTGGTTATTTTTACATTATTGTATATTCAATACTTTTTTAACACTACATATTTACATTATGTGTCATATTTGGGTGCACACAAACTTAGTATAAAACAGTGGATAATGCAGATGACATTTATGTGAAACATTTGATGTACTACAGGTATAATGAGAATTTCTTCTTATACTGTATTTGTTAGTGACGTATACTCGTGCAACATATAGCGAGGACCTCCTATATAGTTGATGCAGTCTACACATAATGCTATAATCCATTGAAATATTTTTTTATTTAAGAAGTATCTTTTAAGTTATTTGTATCGAATATATATTACCATATGTTTTATAATTTGCAGGTCACATTCTTGAGGCAACTAAGGCAAGCTGCAATGGAGCTATATTGGACACACAGTCATTCATCCTTCCATTGTGTCAAGTACTGGAGGCCATATTTCGCAAAGGACTGATTAATGCAGTACACTCAGCATTTGGCCTCACTAAACGAGATTACTGGTCATGGGTGGAGAAAACATCACAAACATCTACTGGGTAATGTAATGAATAATGTGGTACAGTACTATAATTTTTAGTTACTAAAGTGTGGTGCATTGCTGAGAAATGGGTACTGTATATCTTCAGTTTTATTTTCATGACACCTCACGAGAATAATGGTAAAAAAACAATTGCTTTAGAGTTGGTGAAACTATTAGTTCAGGCTGTCATCTAAGAGAATGGCACTAAAAGTAATATTAAAAAATAAGTTTACTTCCAAGGTAAGGATCGCTAAGTACGGTTCAATAGCTGAAGACTTTGATATTAATGCATTTTTGCATCTCTTGATCCAATCAAAACAGGATACAGTACAGTACAGTGATCCCTCGGTTAACAAAATTTTGGTTAACGAATTACCTTCCATAAGAATCTTCAATTCAGTTAACGAACAAAAATTTGGTTTATGAAATTTTTACGAAATCATGTCAACATGTTTTCGCTTGCTCACCAGCTGGAATGTTAGTCCGCCAATACAGTAATCGTTTCTAGGGCTTAAATTCGTTCCCATTTGAGTAAATATCAAGAAGGTTGTACTATTCAATAATTTTCCAAGTTTTATATTAATTTGTTTAGTCATTTTAACACTTATTTAACATAATTGCAGTACAGGAAACTAGTTTTTGGTGCGCCAATCAGCCACTTGACTCACCCAGCAAGGCGTCAGTTTGTATCTCTGGTCAGTGGAGGTAACATCTTGCTTGTGGCTCTCTTGAACATAAACTATTTTTATATTTTTACAGTACAATTATTGGTCATTCTGAAATTTATTTTACATATTGACAATATATAGTGCAGTACAGTGTTGATTTAAAGAAAATAATCTTGAATTACACCTAGTGAACTTAAAATTTTATGGGTGAAATGACGGCATGAAGCATGGGGTGATTTCTCTTCCACCCCCACTTCCTTCTCTTCTCCCTTCTCCTCCACCCCCACTTCTAATTCCCATCACCATCATCAACCAGGAGCCTTCTACATACACACCTCAAAGTAAGTGTACTTTACTGCATTTATTTTTACTTTGTATGTAATTTTCGGTGAGCTGGAACCAATTACCCAAAATCCCATTGAGACAATGGTTTCGGTTAACGAACGAATTGTGTTCGTTAACCGAGGGACCACTCTACTGTATTCTCACTTAGTCATCCAAATTGTCTTCAAACTAACTAAATGTTGGCTGCTTTCTGCCACTTTGGCTGACCCTCACTTGTTTGTGAAGCTGGTAGAAGACATATAGCCATTTTTTCATATACGGGCCAACCCCCAAACTCCACTTTTTGACGACACACAACTATGTTGTAGTAAAAATATTATCTTAACTTTATGATGGTATGCACACACAATTAATAATTAAGAGAAATATCAATAATATTAGGTTTTTTAACACTTACATTAGTAGAAAAGATGGCTGGGCACACGGGGATGGGCGGTTGGTTCCGAGGCAGAGGGCAGATTATTGGCCCTCACCTGTGTCACTTGTATCAATTGTATCACTATCCACCACAGAGGCTTGCAGGGCCTCTTTGTCAAACTCCCCAAAGTCCATATAAGTCCATATCCTCACCATAATTATCACTATCACTGACTTGGGCCGGCTGTGGTGGGTGGCGGGTGAAGAACTGGTAATGTTTTGATGACTGGGCGACCTTGTGCGCACCATGTTCGCGCCGCTTACACAACATGGCGGATGGCGGGAGGTTTGGATCCAAAAATGGCGCGGCTCGCCAGCCGCTCTCCGCGTAAAGGGGTACACGCACCGCGGAATGTGAGCATCCTGGGTTCAAGCAGGGCACCGCGTAAACGTGGAAACGCGGAATGTGGGACCGCATAAAGTGAGGGTTGACTGTATATATTTAAAATTACGAATGAATGCATATGTGTTACCATAAGATAAATGTACCTACTTATAGCTGAAACATTCAAGATCCATTGAGAGTGATGTTGAAAGCTTCAACTATATTTACTTAAAGTGAAATTGTCAAATAAGTTGAGTGTTGGGGTGAGTAATAGAAGTGAGAATTCGTTTTCTGCCCCATGAGAGACTGGAGGCCAAACTAAGGTAAGTAATGGACTCATATTTGGTTCCAAATTCTTCTACATACTACAGGGTATCTTTATATTCACAAGAGTTGAAATGATGTTTGGGGAAAATGGATATACTGAATGTGTTTTTTTGCGCACTGGGGGGTTGATCACGCATCACTTTACCGACGTTATCAGGTTAAACCCCCTTTGCTGAGTTGTAAATCCAATATATTCCTGGAACAGTCAGGGAAGATTCATTGAGATGCACTACCCTTCCTAGTTTTGCCCTTTGATATTGAAAAAAAGGAACTAAATACTTAAACTGTCCAGTATAAGAATAATTATTTTCTCCATATTACATTACATATAAACAAGAATATTGTGTATTGAATTTTGTAATCATGACAGTCAATAGAAATACTCTACACTGCATTATATTTAAATGTTTTGAATCAATGTTGTTTTGTGGATGTGGGCTTTAAGTTGTAATTTGTTAAAAAAAAAATTAAATGATGCATGTAGACCTGAGTTAAATTAGCAACTTGCTGCATACTGTACAGGTACTATATATAATATATGTGTGTGTGTGTGTGTGATAGCATCCAAGCGGGGGTAAAGCAAGGATGTGTACTGGCACCAACTCTTTTTTCCATTTTCTTGGCTACCTTCCTTACTCGTGCCAGTGCCAATTTAGTTGGGGGGGGGGGGTGGACATCCAATACCGGATGAAGGGACTTTTCAACATAAGACGACTCCAGGCAGGAACAAAGGTGTCGGCCGCTTCCATTACGGAGCTTCAGTATGCAGGTGACCTCACCCTCATTGCTCACACTGAACCTAACCTACAGGAGATCCTGAGCACCTGATGCATATGCACACTTTGTCCTTGAGGTGAATGTTTGTAAGACTCAGATTCTCTTCCAGCCATCCCCTGGCTTGACCGCACCTCCACCGTCCATCCAGGTTAACGGTACTACCCTCTCTAATGTTACCCATTTTCAGTACCTTGGCTCCCACCTATCCACCAATGTAGACATACAGTAGAACGTCGATATAAAGCGAGATACGTTCCAAGAGAGGTCGCTTTAAACCAAATTCGAATTCGCACTAAATCAAAGTGTTGTTTCAATGGAATAATTTAGTTTGGTACTTGAGAGAAACACAAAATACTAAAAAGACTGAGAGTCTACCCAGATGCACCTCAGCCTAACTCCTAGACTAAACAAAACATTGTTTTATGTAGTATTATGTTAAAACAAACACTCATAAATCAACACAGCTAAAATTAAGGGATGCGAAATGGTCTGTTTACTGGCTGGGAAGATGGGGGGGGGGGAGGTGAGGTGATGTGTTTGACAGTTGATGCCAAGGTCTAGTGCTTATTTATTTATCTGTGTAAGAGTGACTTTAAGTTTTTCTCTTATAAAATGTCACTGAACTGACATGGGAGAATATAATTAACATTGCTGGAATTCTTATAAGATAGTGATTAATTTGAATATAAACTTGCTATAGCTTGCATTAGACATACAAATTTTAGTTCTAATTTAAGTATTTTATTATAGAGAACAAATTTTTTTATCTCTTGTGCAAAATATATGACGTTTATATTAAAATTATTCGCTGTCTTGCAAGGATTCCAGCAATACAAATTATATTCTCCTCACTTTAGTCTGTGACATTATATAAGTTAAAAACTTTAAGCCTAAAACACCAAACCCTGGCTGGGAAGTGACAGTGACATGTTTGACAGTTGGCGCCAAAGGTCTAGTGAAGTATTATTTGTTTATTTATGTCCTTTAGATTAAGTTTATGGTTTTTGCTTATAAAATGTCACAGAAGTGACCGGGGAGAATATAATTCACATTGCTGGAATTCTTATAAGATAGTGATTAATTTGAATATAAACATGCTCTAGTTTGCACTATACAAAAATTTTAGTCATCATTTAATTTAGTACATTATTTTGAGTACATGTACAGTACAGCTTTGCCCCTAGGACAGTGTAGTGTGCCCAGAGAAACATTAGGTGCAAAATTTTAAATATGATGCGCCAGATTGACTCGCGCAAAATAGGAAAGGTTCGCTTTAAATTAAAACATTGCCCTTAATTGAGGGTGTCGCTTTAAATCAATAATCTTAGATTGAATCGCTTTAAATCGACATTCTACTGTAGATGAAGTGATTCAACATTGGATCAGATGTTCATCTCAAGCCTTTGGCAGACTCTGTACCCGTTTCTTCAGCTGTAGGGAGCTGAAATTATCTACAAAGTTGCATGTATATCGAGCAGTGGTCATCTCCAGCCTGCTGTATGGCAGCGAGACATGGGTCACATACAGGAGGCACCCCAAGGCACTTGAAAACTTTCACCAACATAGTGTACATTCCATCCTCCGAATTTACTGGGAAGACGAGAACAAATGCCAGTATTCTCGCTGACACCAACTGTAGGAGCATCGAGGCTACCATTACCCATGAACAACTATGTTGGGCTGGCCATGTTACCTGCATGGATGACAGTGTTACAGTAGACTGCCAAAGCAGCTACTTTACAGTCACCTAATGAATGGTAAACGTAACGCTGGCAGGCAACAGAAAAGGTTTAAGGATAGTTTTAAGACAAACCTGAAAAAGTGCCAAATTGACCCCCTCACCTGGGAGATGATCACTTCACACTGTAATGCTTGGAAGAGCACCACACAAGAAGGTGTCAATGCTTTCAAATATGCCCGACTGCATACTGAGGCAGACAAACGCCAGCACGGGAAAGATGCTGCCGCTGCCCCTCCTGCATTAGATGTAGCCCTCCGCATGTGCAACATCTGTGGACGGCCCTGCTGGTCCCGTATCAGTCTCTCGAGTCACCTCAGAGCCCACCTACGTAAGTGACTTCCTTAATAACTCATATCATTGTATCATAGCTGGATGATTGTCATACTCGATTCCAACTGACAGCAAAGTAGTGTGTGTGTGTGTGCCTGCCAGGGGTGGCACCAAGAGGGGTCTGGGGGGGGGGGTGTCTTGGGTGTTCATAATTACAATATAAAAAAAGGGTATGCACTGATTTTCAAAACTTTTCAATGCAAACTGCAATGCACTTTGTCATGAAATCTCTACTTTTAGATGCCTTCTTTAGAAAAATTTACCCGAGTGTGTCCAGATAGTCCCCTTAAACTTCATGACTATTTAACAAAGCTGAAGGATGTCTTTTTTGAGCTAGATCTTATTGTAACTATAGTATGTACAGTGCCAGTGTCATCAGCTAAATGTGAGAGGAATTTCAGCTCAATGGGTTTCATCTGGGATAATTTTTGTTCTGTTATAAAAGATGAACATTGAGACAGCTTGATGACGATTGGCTTCCATCGAACTCATGCCAGCAGGCTTGATCTACATACTGTTCTCAGGGTGTCTACTGGTCTGGAAAACCTGGAAAAGGCAGGGAATTTTACAAATAAACCTGGAATTTTATGTGAATTCATTTCAATTTCAAAATATTTTTATTTTGATGGCAATCTTACCATAAATTAATGATGTACTGTACTATAGAATAGGCAAATAAACTTTTTGGAACAAATTCCAGTAAATAGTCCACTCCAATAACTAAATTGTTTGTGTACCTGTCATAATTCATGTTGATGATCAAATAACCAAGTACAGGTACATATACAGTGTTGCAGGTTATACCTACACTAATTCTGCAATGAGTATTGTCAGAGATGAATTGTTCTTATAATTAAGAGACTTTAATTAAGTGGATTATTCCACATATTTAACATAGTCATTTAGGTGGATCTGGAGTGTGATTTTTCAGTTTTCGCTGGATTTCTGGCTTTTTTGGAATGTCCAGGTCAACCCGCATAAATTGCGCAAATCCAAAGAGAAAATGGGGGGGTCAAGGTCTTTGCTGATGTTCATCACTAGGCCTTATGAACATCCTGATCGTAGCTAGTTAAATAAAATAGGCAATCCAGTAGACAGTGGCAATAAAAAAAATTGATGGGCAAGTGACCTACAATATTGAGACCCGACAGAGAATCGGCTGTTTAAATTTAGTACCGGGTGGACAGTCGACCATAGCAGTGACTCAACCTGCCAGTGGATGACACTGGTGTTATTCAGCAGTTTTTGTGCTTTTTTGTCACATTTACCGCCAAAATATCATGTTAGTGTACCTGGAATTTTTCAAATTTACACCTGGAAAAGCCAGGAAATTTTGTTTTGTCTGGCCAGTAGACACCCTGATACTGTTGTAAATAGATTCAAAGCAAAATTGTTTTAAAGTTTTGTTAAAATTTGAATTAAGTTCAATACTGTACAGTATTAGGTTTAGATCATATTTTTTGTGAACTTACTTGTTAAGGCATTATTAATATCTTATTAACATGTATGTATCCATGATTTTTTTTTAAAGGAAGTACAGTACCATATGTAGGGATGTACAGTGGTCCCTCGGTTAACGAACACAATTCGTTCCAGAAGGTTATTTGTTAACCAAAAATTTTGTTAACCGAATCCATTGTTTCAATGGGATATTGGGTAATTGGTTCCAGCTCACCGAAAAGTACATACCATACAAAGTAAAAAAAAAATGCAGTAAAGTACACTTACTTTGAGGTGTGTATGTAGAAGGTTCCTGGTTGATGATGATGAAGGGAATTAGAAGTGGGCTGGAGGAGAAGGGAGAAGAGAAGGAAGTGGGGATGGAGGAGAAATCACCTTTCAGGGGAGCCATGTATGATGCAGTAATTTCACCCATGAAATTTTAAGTTTACTCGGTGTAATTCAAGATTATTTTATTTAAATCAACACTGCACTGTGCTATATATTATCAATATGTTAACTAAAGTTCAGAATGACCAATAATTTCAATGAAAAATGCAAAAATATTCAAGACACCAACAAAATAGATGCTCTCTCGACAGTAAACAAAGCCAGACAGCCTGTACTGCATATATTATCATTATGTTAAATAAATGTTAAAATTACTAATAATTATAATATAAAACATTAAAAAATATTAAATAGCACAACTTTATTGATATTTACTTCATTGGAAACGAATGTAAACATAGAACAGATTACTGAATTGGCAGAGTAGCCCATCAGATGATGCTCACAACAAAACATGATTTTCGTAAGGATTTCGTAAATAAATTTTTTTTCGTTAACCGAATTGAAGATTCTTATGGAAGGTAATTCGTTAACCGAAGCGTTCGTTAACCGAGGGACCACTGTATAGGTATGCTAAAGTGAGGAATTTTTAGTATTTACTGTTTATGAAATCATTGAAATGTGAATGCATAAAATTTAGTAGCCTTGTTACTTTTACTTCTTTTCACCTAATACTTTTGCAAATGTGATACATAGTAGAAAAATTCTCAGTAATATGTGTGTTCATTATATGTCAGGTTCATTTGTGATAACTGATCAACCATTCATGTGGTGTATTTTAGTACCCCATCAGGGAAGTCAGCCCCCCTGTTGGGGGAACTCTGGTGCCATCCCTGCTTTAAACTGAAATGTAAAACCTTGCTAATCTGGACTAATTGGGGGAGGGCATCCAGATTAGCCAAAAGTCCACAGTGTAAAGAAAAAATTCATTAAATGTGTAAATGAAGCATAATGAACCTATAAATCCAATACAATACTGTACTGTATAGGCACACACAGGTTTACAAATGGGACATATGATCCTAAGAAAAAAAGTCTTCCCCAAAGTGAACTAAGATGACACTAAAATCATATTACAGTATGGTATATGTTTAAGGATCTTAGACAAGTCCTCAGACCTCACTGCTCTATGAATACTGTAATCACAAACTAATATCCCGGTCATGCCTGGCCAGACCTAGTTTGGTTATTTAAAACCAGGGCCAGTGGTGTCCAGATTAGTGAAGTTCACTTCATAAATGCTGTATATACAGTATACAGTACAGTATTTGTACTGAACTGCTTCAAATTATTATCTCATGATAATATTATTTTCAGACTTCAGGGCTCCTTCAAGAGCACAGTGGAAGCCGTTACCAACAATCAGTGCGTGGCAACACCACAAGGTCGTGGACGGCTGTTTATCAGGCATGCTCTTAAATCTAAGTGTCTTCACATCCCAGTTGAAACCATAGTAAGGACATTCAGTGTTGTATATTTTTTGGTAATGTTTTACTTTTGTGCTTCATTCTTATTGGTTATTGTATGAAATTTGAGAAATCTTTTACTAAAACAGTCCATATGCATTGTAGAAATGCCTTTTATGAGCAGAAATATTATCTTGTGATATCCAAATCAAGATACAGTAATAAGCTGATGGACACCTTAAGTGAGTGAATACAAGAGACATAAATAATTTAGGATTACGTTCAACATAACCAACCCTAATGATCTTAATACAGTACAGTACTGTATATCTTTTGCTGAAGTTTAGTTATGTTTGCCTGGTTTGTATTACAGGTTGGGTATCCTTTATCCAAAATGCTTGGGGCCTTAAGGGTCTCAAATTTGGGAGATTTTTGGATTTGGGAATACATGTACCTATATTCTGTATACAGAACCTATATAGTATGGTAGCTCACCCAGCAGGGATGGGGCCCAAGTCTAAGCACAAAATTCATTTATATTTCATTTCCAGCATTTGGATACATATATTCTGCAGGGAGTTTTATGAAATATAATTTAATAATTCTGGGTATAAAATAATAAGTTGTACACTAAAGACCCAGAAAGGTAAGCAATCACTACCGTCTGTTTGGCATCGCCATGACACCTGACTCCGAGGCACTAAGCAGCCTGTGTCTTACCTTTATTCATTACACATACATACTTACCTTAGTAAAAATTATGATATAAGCCATATTCAGTGCATAATCTACCATAAATATAATGAAATAGACTTTCGGATTTCAGAGCATTTCGGACTTGGTAATCTTGGATAAGGGATGCCCAACTTGTATATGCAGTTATAAAGGATATTTGTTTGTAGGCCCTGAAATTGGTGTTTGTTTACAATATTTGCAGCATTACCTAGGGAAAATCCCACCAGTTACAATATTGTAGGTATTTTACATATTTTGGAAATGCTGTATTGTACAATCTGGGTATTATTGTATTTTATTTTTGTCCAAGGAAATTAGATCTTTAGTGCACATGGATTCACTGGATCTACTCCTCATTTTTATTTATTTTTTAGTTTATAATGCTATAATTTGCATTTCTTGATGTTAAGTTTTTTTTTAAGGTGCGACTGAGATGCAATGACGGTATCTACGATGAAGAATCCATTATTGGCAATGAAATCTTGGGGGAAATCTTCTTAAGTCTCCTCTATCAATGCTCACACATTGACTTTGACTTGAAGTTAGAAAATGCCTCTTTTTTAGATGAAACTTGGCAACTGCCAATCTACCAAGAATATGAACTGGTACCTTGTATGGATTTAGGTGTTTTTCTTGGGTAAGAGTTTTTATTGTGTTGATATCGTACTTAACTACCATATAATAAGCCCCTAAAACTTGGATAAATAAAAATTTATAAATACTTATGTGAAAGTTTAGTGTTGAGTGTATATATCTGAATTCAATAGTTAATTTAAATTGTAAACTATTTATCAATTGAGGCCCAAATACTGATGGGAGATCTGTATCTACAGCTGAAAGCATGAGTTAAAGTTTGAATCGTGTTTTTGTTTTGTTTGTACTAAAGAGAAATGACAGGAAGGTATTTGACTACATTAACTTAATTTTTATACAGTATACAGTAATGTATAAGCTCACAAGCTACAGCTGTAGTCATGGTCATATATATATAGTACAGGTGCTCCTCTACTTAAGAACGTTCAACTTATAAACTTTCAGAGATACAAACATCATCACTGAGGGGGTTACCTGCCAGAACAGGTGTTTAATGTGGATGAGCCTCGATTATTTTGAAGAAAATTCCAGATAGAACAAAAATTTCCAAAGAAGAAAAGAGTGAGCTAGGTTTTAAGGCTGTATTAAAGGGTATAGCTGTACAGTACTAAATATCCATAATCTTTTCATTTTTTGCAATTTGTTTGGTATCTACAAGAGTAAAGTTGGACTTAAAAACAATTGGACTTACAAACAAGCCTCAAGAATGTAACTCGTTCGTAAGTAGAGGAGCACCTGTATTAAATTTTTTATTTTGTGACCTAAGAATTCTCATGAGTGATTTGCACATTCTATTACCACTCAGCACCCCGTGGCAGACAATGACATAGTGTCAATGCTTGCATTGCTTAGTGACAAAACACATCGATATGATTTTTTTTTCTTTTTGCTTTAGGTAACTTCTTCCCTATTCAATTCAGGGTGCTGAATCTTTAATCCAGTGGTTGTGTTGGTCAACCAGTAAGGTATATGGTCGAATTGAAACTCTCAATCAATCTTACATATCTCAACCCATTTCAGCCATAAAATGGTTTCTTGTGTCATGGCTAAAGATGTCTTGTCAACACTTCCCCGAGTTGCAAGGTGAATAAACCTATAGAGAATTGTTATTAATACACTGTATTTCTGTGGTATGCTACTCTTCTGGACTAATTATTGCATAGGATGGTCTTGAACAACAGAAGTTAAGTTATACACTGTTGAAGTTTTTGCCACCCACTCCATCTCCAAGTATTGTACAATTGAAGCTCCATCTTTTTTCACTAAAAATTTTATAATTTTATCCAAAATACCCCTGAGGGTGGTAATATAGTTGTACAGTATCACATCAAGATATAAACCTTTGATATTAATACTGAATATGTCTTCAACACTAAGTGATTGAAAGATGAAGTGGATTTAGCACCAGTACAGTACTCCCTCTCTTTAAAGGAAGGATGCAATCCTAGAAAAGGAGTGTTCAAAGCAAATTTGTTTAAACGAACCTCTTTTAATATGGTACAAAGGGGAATAGGATCCTGACCCTGTCCTAAGACCCAGTACAGAACTATTTTCTCATTAACTGACTTAGCACACACAAATAATTCATAAATATACATTAATACAATTCAATAGAAATACAGTACAGTATAAATGAGTACTCATTAGTACAGACTGGTTTTTATGTAGACTGGCAGATGGTGGTGGTGTAGGATGAGGTGGCCTGTTAGATGGCTATGCATGTTGCCATTGTTACATGTAATGAAACTTTAAAAGTTGTGGGAAAATCCTTACAACATTCTTATGTGACTTATAAATAAAGAAAATATAATATAAAACTATAAAATAAGAAAATTTAAGAGCAAGGGTGTCTGTGTGAGAAGTGACTGTATGTGTTCTGTGGAGGTTATGGACTGTAACTGTCCCCAGCCCAGTTGCCTACCTCCCCTAATGTGATGTCACAGCATACACACAGTGTAGCATAGCTGTAATCACATGTCTCTGAGTCAGCTAGGTGGCTGCCTAGCTGAACTGTGTTGCATCACCCAGAGGATGGTTTGAGTGCAGAAGGAGCTATTTTTTGTATATATGTGTTATTGTATTTTATGATGTGTTGCATATAAATTTTATTGTTTATCTTAGCAGTTTTCATTTGTTTTTGACGTATGTAATTTGAAATTCATTTGAATCACGCTCACCTTGTTCCTATTCAATCATTTAACTCTGAACTGCACTGTTTATATAGAATTTTTGTGTAAACCCTCTTGCGCACGAGAAAAGTTTTAAGTTTTCCAGTTCCAAGATCACATCTCTGAGTCCCCCAGGGCAGGTGAGACAGCACATGGTGAATATTTTTTTTGCTTATCAATTTACCCCCAAACTTGTTTTTATTGGCATTAGCCACATATCTTTGGCGTCATAACTAATTGCTCTGCAACATAAGCCCCCCCCCCCAAAAAAAAAATAACAAGTACAGTATACTGTATAGCTATTTTTCGTCACTTCAATAAACAAACTTCAATAAACTTCACAACCGCCCAGCTCAAAATTGTTTGAGCCAACTTTTTACGTACTATACACTGCTAGAAGCTGAATTTTATGAGCTTTCCAATGCAGTAATCAGATTTCTGATATGACCAATAGTTTTTGAGAAAATAGCATTTTTTTTTGTATGTTTATAACGATATCAATTATATTGCATCTTGTAGCCAACACTATAATAAAGAGAATGGTACTGATAAAATTTATGTTAGTCTTGAGGGTTTTTTTTTTTTTTTTTTTTTATATGTGGGCAGGCGTTCAACTGCATCACGTGACTTATGGTACGGGTATACTGTACAGTACTGTAAAGGGAGTCTGGTGACGAGGCGCATGATAACGCAGATGCAACCAACACAATTTCTCCCTCAGATTCATGACTGTTGTTATCATGATCATTTTCACTACCAAGCTCTGTATTATCACTATCCACATGATCCTCACTGTCCCTAAACAGTTCTAGAAAATCATCCTCTTTCAGAGACTTTTATTGTGACATTGTCACTATAACGAGGTTGTTTAGCCTGATACGGTAACAGCTTTTGAAAACTAAACACTTTCTCTGTAAATATGAAAAAATATTACATTACACATCCATCACTTCACTTCTCTAACAGTAAAAATAAATTATTTCAGGGAGTAGGGTAAGCACTGTAACCCAGGAGTTGAGGCAGCCCACACGGAGTTATGGAAATTTAAATGGACGTGACTCACACTCAGGGTCTGACTGATGAGATAATACAGGTGCACCACCGATTTTCCAGGAGCTGATGGTCTGGCACCTCCTCTAAACCGGACAAAATTACAAGAGGGCACTTAAATTCCCTCCCTCCCTCCCTCCCTCCCAGCTAGGGTGAAGGTAGTTTTAGGCTTAAAGTTTTTATCTTATAAAATGTAGCTGACTAGACTTGGCAAAATTTAAATTGAATTACTGGAATCCTTGTAAGATGGTGATTAATTTGATTATAAACATCACAAAGTTTGCACAAGAGATAAATTTTTTTTCTAGTGTAGTACATTTGAGTATAAAGTGTATACAGTAATGTTGCTCAAAATAATGTTTTTTTTCAAATATAATTTACATTTAATAATTATTTAATTTAAGTTTCTAGCAGTCTATGGTGCTTTAGAGACACGGGAGGTGTATAATTAGTGGGTCAGAGGTGTATTGTTGGTCCGGCAAAACAGATAATCTGGCAAGGCTCAAGGCTTTGAAACCAAGGGTGCCGGAAAATCGGTGGTGGACCTGGACTGCGCATTTATTGTTCTGGTCTTCCCTTCCTATGGACTTCGAGAGTTGTCAGTTGGTTTATTTGATAGAACTTACTGCTACTATGACGTATCAAAATTTGATGGAGTTCTGTTGAGGACTTAATATTGGGCAAATTTTTAAAAGTTTGGTGACTTGATTTGCATCACAGTGAAGTTGGTCTTATCATGAATATAGCGCTAATCGCGTCATTATGCGCTGGAGGGTTAGTAAATCATTTGTTTAACTTAGAAACTATTTATAATGGATTAATTTAAAGCGAGGGAGTACTGTATTTTAACACAGAGGTGTGTATAGTAACTTTGCTTGGACAGTCATGTTGTCACTAGGTAAGGCTGGCAGGGTTCCATTACATGATTGTGTGATATAGCATGGAGTAAAAATTTGCAATTTTCTCACTTTCTGGGTTTCTTCACAACTGGATTTTATAAGTTGAACTTATGCTTTTCACTGAAAATGTACAGTATTTCATATTAATTATAGGTTGAATATGATTTTATGGGCTGACTTGGCAACCCAACCATCATTTATAACCTTGTGTATATGAGAAATTGAGTTCTGAACGAATGACTTACAAACATCATTTTTGGAACACAATCCATTCATGACAGGGGGACTTCCCGTATATGTTTTATTATACATGTAATGAGGTTCTCTGTCTATGGGAAAAGTGCCTTTGCTATGCAAATTTTCCCTTTTGAATAGTGAGGACCATCTACAGCTAGCTGTAAGCTCAACACCTAATTCTGTGCATATACCCCCTACAGTACATACAAACCCATCATTTTTTGCTGATACCCTTTTTCATAACATAATTTTAGGAGGAAAACAGCAATACCATAATGCAAAGACCACGGATTCAGAACTTCAGTCCTAAAGGGGATAAAAGAAAATTTTATATTCAGGAAATATTATCTTTGTGTGAGAAATGTAATCCGTAAAAAGAAACCTATAGATCTCGGAGTCAGGAAAGAAAGTTGCCAAGACAAAGATTCAGAATCAGCTTAAGTGTGGAGCAAACCTAAACTACCAGTAAGTGCCATGGGAATGGATGGTAAATAATCTTCTGTTCTTCTATTTGAGGTACAATACTTTTATGTGAAGAAGATTGGAGATGCTATTACGTGTGGAGTATGAACACATGATGGAGATTGTAGCCCAGATTTGAAAAGAAAAAACAGGATATTTCTTGACTGCCCCAACTACTTGCTCCCATTAATCACATGTGTCATCTCTGGGCTGTATAAAATCGTCTGGCAGTAGCCTAATAAAATACATTACAAATGGCATCTCCATAGTGAAGGGGTTACAACAACACAACCTGAAACAGTCAGTTATTGGCCTCAGTGGCAGGTTCTTTATGTTTCCTGCAAAAACTTGAAAAGTTCACAATAGCACTTAGAAAGGAAATTTACATCCATGCCTGATCATTCCTGAGTAATGAAGAATGGTGAACCCCTCCAATCAGTGCTGGAGTAGTTCTTTCCTGAAGTGCCACCTAAGACCAAGCCACTTAATTTACGCTTACATAAAACTGGCTGACTCTTGAGCTTACTAGGAGAAAAATATGTTTTATAAAACTGCATGTGGATGGTGGTTATATGGCAGCAGAAAGCATAGCTTATATTGCCTCGCCAATTACCACCTAATTATATTTTAGTGCTTAAATACCTGTAAAATTATTTAAAAACTGTGAAAGCCCCAGTTTATCTTTATACAACATCAAGAACTGTGTAGCCCAACCCAGAATCCTCTGTCCACAATATGAAGCCCAATACTTAGTCTTTTAATAGAAGTGTAGTTGGCAAGTGAACACGTTGTGGCTGCAGTGTGAGGCTGGTACTGTAAACTGTGAGTCTGTCTAATGCTGGGTCAGACAAATGAGGAATGGGTTGTGCAGCATTTGTGTGGCTCTGTAGCTTTAGCTCTCAACCTTGAGTGAAGCTGTAATTAGGACTTTTCAGGCTATTTCATGGGTAGGGCCACTTTGGGGGGGGAATTGACTAACCTTTGAATTGATCCCTGTCAAATCACCAGGCTTTGGTCGGCTTTATGCAAGTTGTTCTTAACTAGTGACCGGTAATAAGAATTATGTATGATGTACAGTGCCTGTCTTGGAGTGTTTTCATGGAACATGATAATGTGCTTGACATGTGATAACCATTAATCCTAAGAAATTTGAAAACACCATGTTATTTGTTGGCACCTCCCAGGCTAGGGGCCTTGGGGATAGTGTAAAATGAAAAGTGCCACACCATCCTTGCTCAAGCCACATGTCAAATGTGGCTTGAGCAAGGATGGTGTGGCATTAACACTAGTGTCTCTACACCACAGTGCCACACATGCTTAGGAGACACTGTACAGTAGGTATAATAATGATTGATTATTACTCTAATAAATATACAGAGTTAGAATATACCAGTGTTAGCATAATATGACCATAGCTACACTCTTCTTTTTTTATCAAATGTAGGAGTAAATTTTACATGAGAAGGTTGTCCGGTTGCCATATTAGTAGGTGTTAAGTGACATTTGGGAAATTCGGTTAGTGCAGTAGGGGAAGGGAGTAGAATAGTTGTTGGTCTAGCAAGTACTGTGTATATATATATATATATATATACTGTGTATATATATATATATATATATACTGTGTATATATATATATATACAGGCAGTCCCCGAGTAATGACCGTCCGACATACCATTACCCGCACTTATGAACGGGATCCCAATACATTCCACAAAAATTTGACATTAAAATCCCATTTTTTACATTATTTTCATCATTATATGTTGTTTAACATCACTTTATTTACAGAATTTACATTATTTGTTATATATGGGTATATTATTGTTGTTTTGTATGGGCTTTAACCTAACCTAAACTATAGGTCCAGGAATGTATCCCTGCCATATATATGCAATATATATATATATATATATATATATATATATATATATATATATATATATATATATATATATATATATATATATATATATATATATATATATATATATATATATATATATATATATATATCAATTCTAAAGCCACTGAACTTTATATATCTATTCACTTCCTGTTGTAACTCTTTTAAAGTGGTTCATTTGGAAGATGTTCAGTCTCATATACTAATGCAAAGAAAAGTCTATTCCATAATGCTTTTTTCTATAATATGCATGAACTAACAACCACCTTAAATTGTAGTGTTTGGCTTTACTAACCAGCTTTCAATTTTTTGCATTTTATATCCAGTCATGTGAACGGAAGAGCAGTTGTGGTCAAAGTGGAAGAAGGGAGCGTTGCTGCTGAGGATGTAAGCCATCTTCAATCTTCATTACTTATCTTGGCCTATCATAGGTCTCGGTCATTATCACCATGGCTCATCGTCATTTACCAATTTTGGTCCATCTCACTTTACTTTATAAACAATACTTTCTTAGTTTTTTGTAGTTTACAGATCATTCAACAAATGACCTTTGAAATCCCCCCTTTCTGCCCCCAACTAAATAGCCCCTGGTATAGCCCACCTTGTCTAGGAAGTGTCAAGAGTCGGGGGACAATGTCCTTTTGGATCTGTTTAAATTGCTGCATGAACAGCTACTTACACAATGAAACTAATGTTGATATGATGTTCTTCAAAAGCCAACAAATCACAAGGTGTGCCAGGACAAAACTTGCAGTCTATTTACCTGACCTAAACCTCTGAGTCATGAACTTGAGTTACAGACTGCAGTCTTCACATTTTGCTGCCTCTCCTTTTTTATGCTTCTTTTGGTTTATCCAAGCACATTTTTTTTTTTAGCATTTTTTTTTGTTTGATGATTGGTAATAGTGTGCAAGACTTAAGACACACATGAAAGTGTCATTGCAGGAGAAGTCAGTAGGTGGTACCAAGAGTAATAGCATTCCTGTAACCACCTTTCTCCTCTTGTTGGTTTACACAGGTACCACCCAAACTCTCAGACTTGACCTGTATCTTGACAAATATTCTCTATTCTACATAATTTCCTCTCCCCATTCGCTTTCTGCTGTTACTTATTCTTTTTCATCCAGTTCCCAAGTGTGTCAGGTTCTTTTACTTTCAAGAGTTGGCTGTCATGTTAGAGGGTACAGGTTGTAAATGTGTGGCTCGTCAATGTACAGTCACCCAAAAAAGTCATGTAGCGAACCATGAACCCCCGAGATTCAGACTCTTGAATCCGAAGCATTTATGGACAGAATAATGTATCAATGTCTACTGCTTCGGGTTCACGAGTCTGAATCTCAGGGTTCGTGGTTCGCTACAGGACTTTTTTGGGTGACTGTACATGCCTAATAGCACATGGACCCGAACTTTATACAAACATATAAAGAGGCTGTCTAATCATCACTCAAACAGTACAGTATAGTATAACACATGAGTGGATTGGTCCTTGCTGTTACTCACATCTCTGGGAGGGGAATCCTGAGGTTACTGCCACAAACTTCTTTTGATCATAGCTCTTTTCACCAATTCAATCTCATGATATAAGAAACCTCACTGTCGCTAACACTCCTCCTCGGTTACCTAGCCAACACCCTCAATCACTCCAAACCCTATTATTATAGTTCTGTCATTTCCATGATATTCACACTACAGTATTATAAACTACTGTATATCCATTTTCATTGTCAGTCATCATGCCGTCACATTCTGTTCCTTATAGAAATGCAGTTTTTTCAATTCTTAGCTATACATTGATTCTAACTTCTTCCACCAAGGAGAGGGCATATGTGCCCTCATTCATTCTGATCTCCCTTGTTTCTGTTTGCTTAATCTTAAAGTATTCCCTCCACAACTATGGTTAACTCTGACTCAAGCTTTACTTCCCCACAAATCTGTTTTTTGCCTCACCCCTGAAGGGGCCTATAAGGTATTGCAGTGAATGTGTTTCTGCACCTTCACCAATAATGTAATGAAGAATATCTCGGTCATATCTGCAATAAATTTGACCAAACATATTGGGTATACAGTAAGCTTTGAACAAATTTTAGGAGGTCATGGTCATAGAAAGTTCAAAAATCACATTTCTCATGATAATTGGAGCAAATAATCATAGAAGAATGAGACATATTGCATTAGATTACTTGAAAAAAGACCCATACAAATGTTACTCTAGAAAATGGTGTAAGAAAATGATAGATTTTCAACGAAAATGTCATGGATACCAAAAAACCTGTTTACGTGTATCACAAATCAAATCTACAAAAATAATTAACAGTGGAGACCCATTCGGGTGCCACTTCAAGAAATTTACCTTGATAGGTCAAAGGTAAAGGTCACAGTGACTAATTTTATTTTTTAGATCATTGTATCTTAGAAACTGCTCAATAAAACCCCTTCAACTTTGGAAAAACAAGTCTCATATTTATTTTTTATGAAATTTTAATGTTGAAAGGTCTTAAGTTGTTACATGACTTTTATACTGTATTTTTTTTTTTTTAATTTTCATATTTAAGTTCATATTACATTAAAATTATATTATTATATATGCTCCTAATTTAGTTTTACAAATTTTATATGAATTTGAGGTGAGGAATACTGAACCACATTGGAAACACCGGTTCTTGTTCGATCAGCGAAATTCAGCAATGTTGGATCAGGTTAGTATAGTACTTGGATGGGTGACCACCTAGGAACACAGATGATGTTGACATAAGGACCTTACTAGAAATAAGCATCTTGTGACTGTCGGGTATCCTTGGTCAAGTTTACTAAATATCAATTATGCTGTAATTGTTATTATTACAGTTTATACAGGTAAACCTCGAGATAGGATATCCTGAGATGCGATATTCCTCTTTAATGATGGTTATAAAGTACAATAACACCAGTTAGTTGGTAGTAGGCACCTATCAAACAGGGAGGTACTACCGCCTGGGAAGATATTGGAAGCATAATGTGTTGTCTAATGGTAGACCTTGCTGCCATATGGCGTCACGAAAATTGTGACCAAGTCCCAGGTTGCTGATCTGACTTTATGCCTCATTTACACACAGTTGCAGGGTCTCAATTGTTTCTCTTACTTTGACAACACAACATACATACAGTAGAGTACATCGTTTCTTACTATTTATCTTTTTTTTAATTTGTGTATTTTTTATATCTTATTACTGTATTATTACCGGGTATTTTTATTATTTATTTCTATTGGTTTTAATTTTTATTAGATTTTGTTATTATTATTATTGTTATTATTATTATTATTATTATTATTATTATTATTATTATTATTATTATTATTATTATATTATTTTTATTTTTATGATACGCCCCCCCCCCCCTATCAGGCCCTCTTGTGGGTCATTGACCCGTGTCCAGGTGGGCTAATCCCCGTAAAAAAAAAAGAAAAAAAAAACTCCCTATATATGATCAAAACAACTCGCTCTAATGATATCCATCAAATAGCCATCAATATCCATTGGTTAGAGTTTTTTCTCTAATGAAAACTAGGGGTTGTTTATACTCAAATTAATTGCTGCCTTCAAGAATTCCAGCAATGCATATTATATTTTTCTACTTCAAGTCAGTGACATTTTACAAGGAAACAATATTTAACCCTATGCATAATGCATCTCTACCTTCACATGTAAGCTTACCCACTTGCCGCCACATGGCCAACCTGCACATTACAGTCCTGTGTTTGGTTCTCTGTCGATCGTAAACCCGCCATTGCAATTATCGGGCAGCATTGTGCATTATACTTATCATCGGTGATTTTTTTCTTATATAGTGAGAGGACAGTACTAACATTTAGATTGAACTGTGTTATGGTGACTGTGAAGTGATATTTTCTGTGTTTTTGTGACTAAGGTGTGTCGACTGTTGTTTTGAAAATGTGAGCAGTGTCAGCCACTATCATTGTTTTTGTCATCATCTTTTGCTCTGTTTTTGTGACAAGTGATTTTGCTCTATTTTTATGATTGAAGTGAGCAGTGTAATTTTGAAAATGTTTAGGAAGGCCAAGGCATCCAAGACAACCGTGTCTCTGAGGTGAAGCTTGACATTGTTAAGCAGCATGAGGCTGTGTGGGAGTCATAGTGATGTCTCCATTCCACCTACAAGAGTCCCCTTAGTCTTGAAGGGGACATGTGATGATGACCAGACTTGTCCAATATGATGTGGTGAGTGTTGTTTAACCCTTACACCCCAGGTGACGTTCCAGAACGCGCGCCTTATCCCGTCACTGTTTAAATGACCATCGCGGGTCGAGCGTGGGTGGGCTCAGAGCGGTCAGTAACCATTCCCCAGTCATCATGGAGAATCGACCATCATCTTCCTCTCCAATCAAGTGTCACCGCCTTGGGTTGGATGATAGCCAGATAAGGAAAGAACTATTTGATGTGAGTGCTGTAGTGGTCGAATCTGGTGAAAGTGGTGAGGAAGGCAGTGATTATATGCCTTGTGATCCTGATGATAGCATCGAGTTAGACGATGTTTTAGAGAAGTGAGGATGAGCATGACGCTGGCAGCGAGGCCCGCCCAGAACGGCGTATCCCCGCCATGTGCTCACGGTTCAGACAAGGGACAGTGGATACCTTTGTTTGGTCTGATGGCAGTAATTTTCAGCCTGACTTCCCTGATTTCAGATGATCATCAGGTGGAATTACTCCTGATTTTCCTTGTATGTACTGTACAGAGAAATCACGCGAGTTGGACTATTTTTGTGCTTTCTTTGATGGTGCAATCATGAACTTTTTGTGTACCAAGACAAATAAATTTTATCAGTACATGTATGATGTTGACCCAAGCCCTGGCCCCTCGCCACACATGCGTCGATGGAGTGATGTCGGTGTTTCCGAACTGTATGTGTTTTTTGCATTACTGATGCTGATGGCACATGTGAAAAAAACGTACTTCAGGAGTACTGGATATCCCATGATGACATCACAGCAACTCCATTGTTTGCAAAATTCATGTCCAGAGACTGGTTTGCCTCCATCCTACGTTATTTACACAACATTCCTGTGGCTGGTGACAGACTATGGAAAATAAGGAAAGTTTTTACAATGCTGAAGGAACTTTTTATGAAGTTCTTCCGACCATTTCAGAATGTAGTGGTGGATGAGCTTCTGGTGTTTTTCAGAGGACTTGTTGTTTTAGGACAATACATTCCCTCCAAATTACATCGCTATGGGATCAATATCTTTGTGCTGTGTGACTGAGATACTGGGTAAGTCTTAGAACTCATTGTTTACACAGCAAGTGACATAGACATACTCAAGGATGACCCACATGGTTTCTCTGGCGCTGTTGTCAAGAAACTAATGGACTGCTACTGTGGAGGGAATCAC